ATTTGGTGTTGTTTCGCTGAGTATTCAATTTCTCTTACTGATTATAGTGTGCCTACAATGACGGTTCAAGAGCATCATGGGAATGAGAAGTCGTGTGTGTGGCATGCTGCTGATTTCGCAGATGGAGAGCTGAAGGAGGAAAACTTTTGTATTCGTTTTCCCTCCATTGAGAGTAAGTTATTTCAACTATCATCTCCAACATGAATTATTCTCTGCCTTCTACAAAATTCTACTTTGAATTCTATACTATGATGCATGGAAACTTTGGTACATACGCGTTTCCACGTTTCGGAAACCAAAACTCCATAACTGTTGGAAACTTTTAAAATTATAATGAAAAAATGGAAACATGTTTCTGCCCCCCAAAAAAAATCCAAAACAAGTTTTAATTAAAGACTTGAAATTAATTGTCTTTGCTTGAAAAAAATCTTAAATCTTATGTATCTTTTTCACTTGGTGTTTTAATATTTTTTTAGATGCTCATTCGATACTAAAATAAATTTATATGCATTGTTTAAAATTTATCGAATGATAATACGGATTGGAACTTGTAAATTATATATAATTTGTAGATACAAATATGTAATTGATGATAAGTATATAAGTTAACTGTGTAATATCTTTTTAGAAATTTAAGGATGAAGCCCTATATTTTTAATATTTACACATTTCCACCACATTTCCGTATCCATTTTTTTTTGGAAAATGGGGTTTCCTCGTGTCTATTTCCGTATCCATTTTTTTTTGGAAAATGGGGTTTCCTCGTCTATTTCCATGTTTCACCGTGTCCGTGTTACCGTGTCCGTGCTACATAGATTCTATATGTAGTATTAGCCTATGTTTCACCGTGTCCGTGTTACCGTGTCCGTGCTACATAGATTCTATATGTAGTATTAGCCTATGTTTATTTATGTTCAAGCATGTGAATGTAGTGATGGTTCGACTTGTTAGGTTTATCTCCAAAACATTGTTGCTTTATAATCCTCAGAGCTCCTAATTGGAAGAAATGCAAGTTGGTGATATGATTGTCACGTATCATGAGAAAAAAACTCGTTTTTTGGTGTCCTAGTTTTTATTTAATTTGCTTAAAAAATAATTCCATGTCCTAGCTTGTACATATCCATGTACAAGCTGTTGTGATACATACGAAGCATATCATATATCATTAAGATGTGAATTTAATCCTTGTGATTGAACATTAGTTTGTGATTAAAAATTTAGTCCCTCTTGGATACATTTCTTAATGGAGCAACCTGGTAAATTTTGGTTATGTTTCCTTGTTTATTTCAGATTGCAAATCTTTCAAGGATAAGATTGAGGAAATCACTGAATCCCTGGCAAAGAGCAGTGGAGAAAGCGAAGAAGGCACCACTGCTGCGAATCTTATCGAAAAGTTGACTGTTGAAGAAAAAGACACAGAAGAGAAAATCGAGGCCAAAGAAGCACCTTTGTCCTCAGATGAGAAAAAGGAAAAATCTAGTGATGAGAAGTAAGGTCTGTTAAGGTGTTCTTGTCTTATTTTTGTTGACAAGGATTGAAACATTGGCTGGGGCAATTCAGGTGAGTTGGACTCGTACGGGATATATGTTATTATCATGAAACTTACGATGGACTGTGTTATTTGGTTTGTTTGTTGGTATCATGATTGGTTGTGTCTGTCAATTGGTGTGTTTTGGAGTTTAAGAGTATGGTTGGTTGGTGTCTATTGGATTGGATTGGATGTGTTTGTTTTTACCATTTTGTCTTGCAAAGGTTGGTTTTAAACAGGGTGCATTACCCTAACGGGCATATATTTTTTTATTTCGAGGATTATAAGGTCTTTGTTGCATGAGTATATTATATTTGTCTATGCTTTTGGATATGTTCAAAAAGTTTAACAGGCGTACACATTTGAATCTATTTAGTCTGCTATTGGGCCTGAGTTGGACTACATTCAATCCCTCATATTCTGGAATTGGGCCTGATTGGCCCAATATTTAAATCCATAAACTTCGTAACAGGCTGGGCCTTAATTAATGCTTGATTTTTTTAATTTGGCCTAAATGGGCTTATATTAAATCCGTATATTCCATTATTGGGCCCGACTGCGTTTATATTTAGATCTACTGGGCCTATATTTAGATCCCCAAATTCACTATTGGGCCTATGTTTAGATCCGCTAATTCCGCTATTGGGCCTGACTGCATCTATATTTATATACGTAAATCCTTTATTGGGCTTACGGGGCCTATATGTTAATCTGTACATTCCATTATTGGGCCTACATTTTGATCCGTAAAATTCTCTATTGGGCCTATATGTTAATACACAAATTTCCTATTCGGCCTATAATTTTGATCCACAAACTCGCTATTGGGCCTATATTTTGAGCCGCAAATTCCTTGTTGGGCCATTATTTTGATACGCAAATCCCTTGTTGGGCCCACGTTTTGATCCGCAAATCCCTTATTGGGCCTGTATTTTGAACCGCAAATTCCTTATTGGGCCTATGTTTTGATCAGCAAATTCCCTATTGGGCCTATATTTTTTTCCGCAAGCTCCTTATTGGGCCTATACTTAGTTCCGCAAATTCCATTATTGGGCCGGACTGCGTCTATATTTAAATCCGTATATTACGTTATTGGGCCTGACTGGGCCTATATTTAAATCCTGAAATTTCGTAATTGGGCCAGAATCGGTCCATTGAATATATAATTTATATTTTGGGCCTAATTGGACAACATCTAGTCGGGCCGGTCGCGTTCATTATTGGGCCATCAGCGTAATACTTTTGTTTGTTGGACCGCAACAATGGCCCATTCTTTCGGGCCCGTTTTAATACTTAAATATTGTTTTTGACCGTTTCTTTTTTTTTAATTCTTAAATTGAAAAATGGTTTTGAAATATCCGATTCATCATATCTGCCAGGCCCGTATATGGGCCTATATCTTTCGTTATTGGGCCTGACGGGCCCAAAATCCAACCCATATACTGAGCCAGGCCATCCATATATGCTTTAGATGGACCTGAGTGGGCCTATATTCATGGTTATGCCATCATTCATACTGTACAATTGAGTGAATGCTTCTGCAGAACGAGGCACGGCCTTCCCGTTCAGTTCGAACACTGAACACGGCAATAAAACCTCCTACAAACACACACGGATGGATTCCCTTGCCATACTAGACAAGATCTCTGCAATCGCTAAACCTTCCTTCTGAACTTACCATTACACTATGGATACATCATACATTACATCGTCCGTAGATTTTCTCATTTGTACGTCTGTTTCTTCGGGTGTTCCTTCCTTCATTTCTCTTCCTGTGGAACCACCTATCAGATAAACACCAACTAAATTATATTCACAAATCACAAAAGTATGGGCTCTACCAAATTCAACATACCCAACATATTCTCACCAAACAAGGAATCCGCCGATGGCCGGCTTGGTGATGTACTCCTCGTATCATCTGCATTTTGGTGAACTTGTACTTCAAGAAACGAAGACGACTATTTTTTTGCTATAGCTTTACAGATACAAGAGTTAACAATCAAGCCATGTAAATTTATTACCTGATGAATAACGCAATGCCTTAACAGCGTCGAAGTTCTTGTATGTATAGCCCACAAAACTCAAGTCTTTTGGACTCAGATGAATCTGCTTATTAAATGTGAGGAGCAAAGTTATTTCCCTTATTCATCATCAAGCTTAAGCATAAGAAGTAAACCATTACAGTAATCAAGACCAAGCAAAATTAAAATGAAGCGCATAATTGGTAATAATATCAGTTAAGCAAGAATTGGCAAAACATAATCTGAGAATGGGTAAAGAGCAATAAGAACCTTGCGTGAGGAACCTGACCCAGATATTGCCGAGGTTGGAGGATTCAACTGTCAGAACCAAGAAATTTGCACTGGTGAGATTTTTTGCGATAAAACGAAATAAGATTTGATATTTGTCACTGAAGTAGGTATAATAAAGGATGGAGATATATGACTGTACTTCGTCAAACTTCATAAAATTCTGGGTGTCCAGCTCTCCGTTAACCTCTGGTTTAAAGGCTGCTTCCATTTCATATAGTTTATCCCATTCAATTTCCTTAAACCAAGGGTGAGCCTGTTGCATATATTTATAGTTTAAGTGTTAGCGAGAGAGAGGAAGAGACAATCCGACGCACAATACTTATAAACTCGTACCTTTATCTGGGCTGCTCCTTCAGTTCCAAGCCTGTGTTCCACATTGCAGAGTAACTTACAGATAAGATCTTTTGCGTCAGGACTCAATTTGGTGTCTTGAGGAAATTTCAGGTGATTTCTCCAATGAACAATCTGGTGGCCATTAGTTAACCTTATTAGATGATTTTTTTTTCAACAGTAAGCCTAGTTTGTCAAGTCATATGTTGCACTCTACCAGTTTCTCAAGCTAAATGCGTACATGCAATTTATGTGTGATGAACCAGCAGAAAGATGTTATCCATTTTAGCAGTTACCAAATGGCTGAAGGCCTGAGCCAACATTGCTATCACTCTCTTGGAACGGAAAAAAAAAAGGATAGTTGAGATTGTATGAGAAGAATATACCTTCCTGCACGCGGTCATAGGATCGTCAGAATAAAAAGGGGGATAGCCAACAAGCATCTCATACATAATTGCACCCAGTGACCACCTGCATGCATATGTGGTTGCTTAGGTGACAAGAAATAGACACACCAGCACAAGCTTAACATCTATAACGAGTAATGCAATATAGAAGATACATTTCGTTCTGAATCCTAGAGTTGCTGCACAGGTACCATTACATAAATTAAGCATCAAAGTGTTGATTGTACGGTGGAATTAAGGCTCATATCATGCCATTTCATTTCTGATTTATCAAAGTTATGGATCCATATGCTTTTTTTATATTCATAGTGGTATGCCAAGAGAGGAATGATAAAAGTAACTGATGTAATAATAAGAAAGAGATGAGATGAACTGACCAGTCGCACTCCACACCATATCCCTTCTTCAACAATACTTCTGGAGCAATATAGTCTGGCGTACCCACAGTTGAAAATGCCTTAAAAAAATAAAAAAGTGCAGATGATTAAATAATGCGAACTGGACAGAGATGCAACTAAAACTACAGATGCTGCATGGTATAGTTAGGAGACTAGATATTAAAATAAACAAATGACAGATTCAAGCAGGATGTAGAATTAAAGTTTCCATTTCACCCCCCAAAAAAAAAGACAATGCCGCCCTCATCAGTTAACGAACAAAAGTCACCATGGAAAAGGCTTGTAAGTGAACACGAGTATGTAATAAGGAAAAAAGAAAAACTCCTAATTTGTTCTTACAAGTGTTCTCCTATTCATCTGCCAGTGCTGAAGTTGTTCACGAGGACTCCTCCAGTTATTACCATTTGCAGAGTGGCCATCAATGTCCATTGGTTCCCTTATATTTTCATCACCCATGGCCTCGTTTTCATTCACCGTAGATAAAATTCTGCAATCAAGTGGCTTGCACAGACCAAAGTCTGACAGTTTCATGTGTCCATTCTTGTCAAGTAGAAGGTTATCTGGTTTGATATCCCTGAATGGAAATTAGTGAATAAGACAAGTCAACGAAAAAATTAACTCATTTACAACATCTAATTCGGTTACACGCACCTATGAATATAATTATGCTTGTGGATGGACTCAATCGCAAGTACACTTTGAGCAATGTAAAATTTAGCCACATATTCGGAGAGTGTGTCCTCTCTCATCAGCAGGGTCATCATATCACCACCCGGGAGATATTCCATGATAAGATATAAATGCTCTGAATCTTGAAAAGAGTAATACAATTTAACTATGAAGTGGCTGTCCACTTCTGCCAATAAGTTCCTCTCTGCTCTAACATGTTCCACCTAAAACACAAAACATTTGATCATGCAAACGTACCAAAATATTACAGTAGTTATTTATGCATGCTTGTTTAATGTACTACCTGTCCTCTCGAAACCATTTCAGATTTCTTCAATTTCTTCATGGCATAAATGTTCCCTGATTTTTTTTCCCGGCATAGTCGAACCTAAAGTTGCAAATACGATCAGAAGCTGAGAAATCATATAAAACTGAAAGACACATATTTATTGTAATAATCAGGTTGCACAATTAATTGAGGCTAGACTAAAAACTTTGATATATTCATGACAATAATTTTGAATGAATTTGGAATACATTAAAAATCATTTGAATGAAAGGAGATATGCTTGTAAATAACCAACCTCACCGAAGGCTCCACGACCTATGATGGTTAGAAGTTCAAAATCATCTACACAGATCTTGTTCCTTCTCAGTCGCATAAACTCTGTTTCTTTCCGTTCTAAATCTTTAATTAGATTTATCTGTTCATCTTCGGGCACATCTGAAGATGCCAACTTCCTTTCTAGTACCCACCTCCTGAAGTAAAAAGAAGAAATACATAGGTTTCAAATTTAGCTCAAAAATCTGTAACAGTGATCTAAACAAGTAGAAGTAAGTCTTTGTTCGAATACACCCAACATGAAGTACATCAATTGTAACTTTATTTGACCCAAGGTCTGCTGTCTAAATTTTGTTTTGTGAGCAAATCCGATTTAAGTAATATCCAATGCTTACAAATCAGAAAATGAATGTAAACCTTTTTAATCGGTAACCAGACTGAACTGTGTAACAGCATTTGATTGTTACGCGAAAAAAATATGTCCCAGACATTTTAATCCGTTTAGCGAGACGCTTCACAATTCACATCATACTAAATAACCGTGACCACATTTATTTCCTTTGCAGCAAACAAACAGTTCAGACCTATTTTCCTAACCAGGAAAACACCAACCCTAGAAAACTTGTGAAGATTCAGCTCTCACAAAACACAGCAGTTTTATTCTCAAATTAACCCACTGAACATCATCATCTTCTAATCTCACTATATTAGTAAATCATTACAAATGAAATCCAATTAGATAAAACCCTACCCCCAAAAGAAAGCGCATAAAATTCACCATATGTATATATGCAATAGACTACTCAATTATCGTTAATCGACCATGAGTTTAATGAATTTTCATAACCTAAATCCACAGTTAGAGTTTACCCAGGAAATACTTACAAAATACAAATAAAATTAAAGCAAAACACCAGATCTCGGACACGGACTTAATTAAGAACTCAAAAGTAATTAAATAATCTACTTAACGAAATCTCGAAGTTAAAAGTTGCGACAAATATGTATATCTCGAAGCAATCATACCTTTCTTTTCTTTCCTGAATGCTTTTCATCTGATTTCTGTAGTGATTCTCGATGTACTGTTTGGCGGCCGCCACTTTTTCCATTGTCAAAATTGAACCTAGAATTTCTTCGTCCCCATTGCTATTGTTCTGTCCTCCGTTCATTTTTCTCTCTCTTACTCTCTCTCTCTCTCTCTAGATTCCCGCTAAATGTGAATACATGTCCCTGCGAGTGCGAGTGCGAGTGCGTGTCTGTGTGTGTTTCGTCTAAATATAATATGCGTATTTAACAAGAAAAAAATAAAATGGCTAATTATATATAATTAAAAGAGAGAGAGAGAGAGAATAAAATGGCTGGGGAGTACGCATCCGCCTATTTCGGGCAGGATCCGCTACTTCACATTTTAATTTGTTTTTACATTTTTAATTTGTTTACAATTACAATTAATCCCTAATAAATTAAAAAATATATATATAATTACACTCGTAAGTCCTAACCGTTAAATGGGGTAATTAGATTAGGGATGACCAACCCTCATTAGGAGAGTTGGTACCTAGCCTTTACCAATAGGGTAACGGTCTAGGGTTCGAGTCCCCCCTCCCCTACTTCCCCTTGTAATGGACTTGAATTTACTCAAAAAAAAAAAAAAAAAAAGATTAGGGATGACCACGGGACGGGTTTTGGAAAACGCACCAACTGTTAGGGAAATTCACCACCCATATCTGGCTCGGAGATGTGCTATTAAATCCGTCTCCACCTCGTATAAAATCCGTATCATTATTTTATTAATATATATAGGTCTTCCTTGAAAAAGCAATTGAGTCTCGATGACATGAATTACTATAGACAGGTTTCTTGATCTTGTAGGATCGGCGGCGAAGTACTAGTAGATGGTGCCGTTAGTGGAGCAGGGGGAAGGCGTCGATGGTGGTGGTGGAGGAGAAGAGGAGGAAATTAAGAAGCTTTCAGATTTGTTCTCTGTACTTTATGTGGCCGATGCGTACTTTATGTGGTTGTGGCGAAAGCATAAGATATTGTTCGACATCTCCTTTTTTTTATGCAATTACTTTCTTTCAACATACCAAACAGTGAGAGAGAGAGACTTATTGTGTTGACGGTGGTTGAACGAGCGCTACAGATGATTTCATTTTTTCATAAATTTTGTTTGGGATATAATGTTGGACTTTCAATATATTCAAATATGATCCACATGGTTCCAAATTTTAAAAATTGTCACCTTGGTCGGGTCCAATTTATTTTTACTAGATTTAATGCAAATCGGTTCCTTGTGGATTGAACTGAATTTGATCGGAATTGGATCCAAATTGCTGGCCCTAAATAAACTAGGAGAGTACTAGGTATTTATTTATAACTGAAATGATTTACGCGGCAGCAAAATTACGAATGTCGTTCACAATAGTCTTTTCTTTCTCTCTCTAAAAATCCTCAATTCCACCCAAAGCCCAAAATCCCCAAAAGCCCCAAAATTCACAAAAACCCTCAACCTCTCTCACAAATCCTCCAAAATCTGAAAATTTCGTCAATTTGAAAGGTAATTAATCATCTAAAATAGTTATATATATTGAATTTGGGGTAAATGATGTGAAAATCCCCTGAAAATCGCAATTTATGGCTATTTTTAGTGTTGGGTTTTCGAATTTTCCACGCCCAAAATGGATGTGTGAAAGCAGTTTCCACGCCTGATTTAGGCGTGGAAACAGCTTTCCCACGCCCATTTTGGGCGTGGAAAATTAATTCGGGCGTCCGGTCCAGACGTTGGTTCCGGACCGGTCGTCCGGTTCAAATTTTTTTTTTTGCCCAGTATAACTGACATTATTAATAATATTTAAATAAGTATTAATTTATAAACGTGCTGTAGCCTAGTTGGTTAGGCCTTTTGTCTAACAAACAATGTGCCCGAGTTCGAGCCTTTGTAGCAACGCGTATTTATTAATTTTTTGCCCAGTATAATGAAACAAATAATTATATTTAAATAAGAATTTTTTATCAAAATTGCAGTAGCCTACTTGGTTAGGTAAGTAGGCATTTTCACTGCAACAACCTGGGTTCGATTCCTTGTTGCAGCACAATTTTTTTTTTTTTTTTATTAAAACACAGTCAGCATTGGATTCCGTATCTCGATCCTCATTCGATGCACTCATTTTTTTTTGCAAATGGCTACAATAACATGAGTTTTGGAATGATTTCTAATATAAAAGCTAAAATTGTAGAGAGAGAAAGAAAGATAGAGAGTGGATTTTTTAAAACGACATTCGTAATTTTGCTACCGCGAATATCACCTCCCTTATTTATAATTTAGACATACCTCAACATTGGTTGTAATTTATCCTTTAATTAATCTATAGTATTAAACTTTTCATTAACACCAAAAATAGTCACCTTAGGCCATGGGAACATTCAATCACATCGGCCTCTGTTGTAGAAGGCCCAAAAAAGAAATAATTTGATTTGTTATATATAATACTCTCTCTCTCTCTCTCTCTCTCTCTCTCTCTCTCTCTCTCTCATTAAAATAAGACAACATACACATTGGTGGCATTTTTCATACATTTGAAGAATGATGATATTATGACATAAAAAAATAGGTCCAATTAGGGGTGGTAAACGAGCCGAGCCGGCTCGTGAGCTCGACGAACCGGCTCGTAAAAAGCTCGAACTCGGACTCGAGGTTTTCGAGCTCGAGCTCGAGCTCGCGAGCTCGAGCTTTCTGACGAGCCGAGCTCGAGCCCGATTTTAGTTGTTTATCAGCTCGCGAGCCGGCTCGCGAGCCGGATTTATTAATATTTTTTTATTTTTTTTTTATTTTTTTTTTATTTTTTATATGTTATTTTTATTTAAAAATGTATAATAATATAAAATATTATAGAAATAAATAAAAATATTAAAAAAATATATAATCACAATTTTGTGTTTATTTTGTAATTTTTTATAATATTTTTTAATAATAAAATAATAATAAAATAATATTTAAAAGAAGAAAAAAAAAAAAAAAAAAAAGGGATTGGGCTCGAGCTCGAGCTCGAGCTCGAGCTCGACAAAATTAACACGAGCTCGAGCTCGAGCCAGAAAAAGAAGAACTCGACGAGCTCGAGCTCGAGCTCGAGCTCGACAAAATAAACTCGAGCTCGAGCTCGAGCCAGCCAAAAGAGGCGAGCTCGGCTCGAGCTCGGCTCGTTCACACCCCTAGGTCCAATGGTGTGAAAAGGATTAGAGGATCACTTACTCTGCTACGCCATCTTGACTTTGCTGTCAACAACATTCACACACAACACTTTCAATTAAGACAACCTAAGATAATGTAGGCCCAAAACACACCTCAAAAACCAGATTACCAAATTAATTACATCATAACTAAACAATTACATTTTCATCCAATAGCTACTAACCCACAACATCATGAATCTTGCCATCTAAATAGGCCAACACCTCAAATACAGAAGAAGAGATAAATTTCATGTCACAAAATCAATTGTGACCAAATAAATTTTCTTGATCTCTAAGGTTCATAAATCATAATACAATCTTTTGCAAGTATAACAAATTAACAATACAATAAAACAATAATCAATCTTCAAGAAACTAATGTAAATTTACCTAACTAACCGATAATAATTATTTAAAAAAAAAAAGAAAGAACTTCACCTATATGTTATTCTTTTTGTGTATGTTTATATGAATTCATCCTACAACACAACAATCACCGAATTTGCTTAAAACTTTCCGACTTTCGACTACGAAATAAACGATGTACCGGCATGATTATGATGCAGTAGATTATGAGCAATCGCGTCTCTCGCCTTCATTGCAGTAGCCGACCTCAATCCAATTTCCGGAACCATCTCATCGTCCACAAGCTCGTACTCCATCGAAGCATCCAATTGCTCGTTTCTCAACTCGCATATATTATGCAACACACAGCAAGCACCAAGCACAACAGGAAGATCTTGAAGTTTCACTTCAGTCCTTTTTTGCAGACAGCCCCACCTGCCTTTCACTCTCGCAAACGAGTCCTTCGCAATCTTTTGAATCTCCCCGATTTTCTCGTTAAACGCATGCTGAGTCCATGTCAAATGCTGCTGCGTATAAGGCACCAATACCCAATCCATCAAAGGGTAACCGGAGCCACCGATAATCCATACCCCTTGATAAAATCCCGCATTCGCCCGCTGGAAAAGCGTCGACTTTTCCAAGACTTGGTCGTCGGGCATCGAACCAGGATAACCTATGCAAACATCGGTGAACACTCCTCTAGGATCAACAACCCCTTGTACAGTTATCGAATACGATGTCTTTTGATTCCTTTCTGTGTGCCTACGATTGAAATAAGCTGCAACGCTAATCTTGGGCGCGATTATCGGTATATGTGTGGTGTACATGGATCCAACTACATTAGGTATACCCGAAATCGACTCGAATTCTTCTTTTATCCTCGTTACGGTCTCTTCTTCGGGCCACCTAAGATATTTCGGCATCAAAACGGTTCTTATGGCAGAACAAACCTCGAGCACGAGCTTATGGCAGGTAGATATCCCGAGCCCGAATTTCTTCGAGACGAGCCTTAGCGGCTCTCCGGTGGCTAACCGCCATATACACACCGCCACACGTTGCCTAACCGGAACTGCATCTCGTAACATAGTGTTTTCTTTAGCAACAACAGAGCTTAACTCATTACAGATTAAATCAAATGTTTCCTTCCCCATTCTAAAAGCTTTCTTAAATTCCTCCTCGGGAAAATCGGGGCTGTTGCATTGGTCCCACCAATCTTTAGACCTGTTCTTAACCCACAGCCGCCTCTGAGGTCCGGGTGCCGCCGGAGACTTGTTGTCTCCGGCGCCGGAAAAAACAGAATCCTCAGCAGATGATGCAGCAGCAGCACCACCACCAGCACCGATGGCTATTGCAGCGACGTTTGCAGCGGCGAAAGCGTTCGCCTTCCCCTTTCTCTTCCGAGTTCCTTCAGCCTGTTCGGCGTCTTTGTGAAAACCTTGTAGGTTGGTGTAGTAATCCATCATCGCTCGATTTCTCTTGCTGTGATTCTCCTCCAATTGGAGAATCTCTTCTCGATTGGCTTTATCAACCTCTTCGAATTCGTTCTTCTCTTGATCCTCGAGAAAGCTCAAAGAAGTTATGATCTCGTTCAGCCCTTTAGTCTTCACTTTCTTCTCCTCCGATTCCGCTGCTCCCAGAATTCCGACGGCGGCGCTCGTGCTCTCTTTTCTTCTTCTCTTCCTCTGCTGCGGCTTCTCCTCGTTCATCTCCAAATCGGCTTCCTCAAAAAATAAAGTCTAGAGTGCGCTAAAAAAATGGGTTTTGTGTGAAAGTGGAGGAAGCTTCATATACATACATGAATATGATATATAGCCGTCAAGGTGATCGACAGATTGCGTGAATGAAAATGTGAAACCGGGGGAGAGAATGTCAAACTACAGAAAGTGGGATTTGAAAACTTCAGGTCAGCTGTACATATACAGATATATATATATATTATAGATACAGAAAGAAAACGTGTGGGATTGGTGTGAACACGGTATTGGGATTGAGGAAGTTTCGAGGAGAAGATAATCGAGATGGGAGGTGGGGTCGTCTCCTCTTGGGGGTTAAAGACGGTGACTTTGGAGAGAGATTTATTTTTATAGCTCTGTTTTTTTTTTCTTCTTTTTTCTTTTCTTTTTCTTTTCTATTAATTAGGACTTTTAATTTTGAAATTGGTGCAATATAATTAAATAATCTATTCTTCTTTAATAATCTTTACAAAATCACAACTTTTCATCACAAAATTATCAAAATAATAATTTATGTTTGCAATCAACATTTAGATATTATTATTATTATTCAATAAATTTAGGTCATTAGATTGATGGTTTAAATTAATTTAGATTGAATTATAGTAACTCCTTACTTACTAATATTGGATGAATGAAGAAATTCGTAGAGCTAATTATATAGGTGCATTGGTTAAACCTACACTCTCGTATTATACAAACTTATTTACTAGTTGCGTATTTTAATTTTCAATACATGGTTGAGTACTAGAGTTAGTTTTAAGTATTATCAATTAGCTAATTCCAAAATTTAAAAAAAAAAATTGTAAAGATATTATTAGGAGAGAAATAATGCAAGAGACAAATGGGAAAGAGGGGGGTGAGTAGTCAACAAAAGTGGAATACATAAAACAGAAACCTCTGCACCTCTGCTTCAATTTTTCAACAGCTGATTCCGATGTTCCCAACATATTACTACAGGCACAGCCTTCTTTAAAAGTCAAAAAACAGCTTTGACATCTTATTTGATGTGAAATTTGATTGACTATATAGTTATCAGCACTTCAATTAAATAGTATTTTATTATATTCAGAGACCGTTAGACAATTATTACAAAAAATGAAGGAAAAAAAATAATAGTTTTCAAAAATGAATATTAGAGGGATCAAGGAAGTTCGATTAAAAAGAATAAGAAAAAAAACATAAATTTACACTCTCGTATATAATAACTTGCAAACCACACGAGAGACGCTGACTGTGTGTAATAAGCCTGGCTTATAGCAATCTTTACCAAGAAGATTCAAAATTAGTCAATTGACACAAACTTAGTTGCTCAAACCGCTGAACCACTATTGCGTTACTCTTTAAACAATGTTGATTGATATGAACTTTGATTTGACTTGAGCACTATCCAATATTCCAAATAACGGTTCAATTGGATTTGACCCTAAAGAAAGACCCATTTTTTCTTCTTGGATGCTCGTCAATTGGGCAGTAGCAAATTTTCTAAGCTGAAACACATCGTATGTTTGGTCTCTTCTAGTTTAAATAAAAAACGTGGATAATGAAAAAAAAAAATGTTTTAAAGAAGCCAATTCCAACAAATTGTTAACAAACCAATTTCCAATTACGAAATGAAAAGTCAAAGTTTTCACTCCTTCCTATGAATTTCTACAATTTGAACAAACTCAAATGCGCATTTCGAAATGGTGATTCCAAGTGGAGACCAAATTGCTTATTGCTATATGCTTTTCCAGACATATGCTGTATTGAGATTTGAGAGTATGTTCTTTGCTCCACGCGGTAACAGCTATCAATAGCACACAATGGGAGAACTCAAAGATACATACAGTATATATATATATATATACATACAGTATATATATATATATATATATATGACAGACATGAAATAGTCAATGAAAACCATGTGCATTCTGCCAAGTTCATGATCCAGATTCTGCCCTCTTGTTTAATTCAATATCATGTGACACTGCAATTAAATAAACTCGAGTTTGAATAATATCCGAAACTTCGACAATAGTGTCTGATAAAAAAAAAATACAGTCACGAGTCTTTATGATTTTTTAAAATATACAGTCACAAATCCGTTTTATCAAAAGTGAAGAAACTCGACAATATCGTCAATCATTCAAGAACTATTCTATCACAGCGAATGATGTGGTAAAGAGAATAATAACTAACCTTACATTCATGTAGTGACAAACTAGCCACATGGCTGCTGGTGGATATAAAACACCTAATTGGAGGAGAGAGAATATTGAAGCTGCAAAATCTTGCATTAGCAACTATCTAAAAAAAAACATATAAAATCATATGCACAAACAGTATTAAATACGTATTTAACATGTCCAATTGATGGCGTATATGTGTACATCTTGCACAGTTCATGAGCATAAACACAAACGAGGCTGATACTCTGAAAAACTTAACCTTTGTTCGGAAAATTGTGTGAGAAGCTGTTTTCAAATGTTTATTTTAAGAAGCTTAAATTAGTTCAAGTAAGAGACTTTCCGGCCCATTCTCGTTGTCTGCGCTTTTCCTTTGCCTGCATTTTGTTGAACTTCTCTTTTCCTTTCTCCAGAAGAGGGTCATGCACTACGTAGTCATTCGGATCGTTGCTGCGCGACATATTATTCTGTAGAATAGTCCAAAACGCAGTGTTAATTTCTGTGTTTCTGTAGAATAGTCCAAAACCTACATGCAATAAATACAATATTACCTTGCCATGCTCAGGAGCAAACTTTAGCTCAACTCCCATCCAATCTGACAAATCATCATCCTTAGCACCACTTGATCCTTCAGCTTTGGCTGAGACGGCTGACTTGAAATTCTGAAGTTTCGCTAGAATCTACAACCCACATAAATACTATGATAAGAAACTTACCAATTTATAAATTAAACAACCTAGCAAAAGTAAGACGGCGTATAATTACACATTCTATCCAGGAAAAAAAATTCAGACCAATATCTAACTTGCCTCTGCTGTATATTTGCATCATTGATACTGCCATATTGAATAGAATCATTATTTAGTTCTCATAACCCCTACCTTACAGCATCCAGCTTGAGCATTTCTTTTAAACAGCTATTGGTTCTCACCTCTAATATATTTATTCACACATATTGGATATCACGGGAAATTTCACTTCTATCAATCATAACTAAGAAGAATAAAAGACTGAGGAAAGCATTTCCCAATTTCTACAAATAATGGAGATTTTAAACCGTACCTCATCTTCTTGCCCCTGACGCCTGCGTCGTTTCTGCTTCTGCAGCTGTCTTTCTCGTTCTGCTTCTCCAAGCAACTGTAAATCAGCGTCTGCATTAGCCATACGTTCAGCCCTGGCTTCGGAGCCTATTCCTTTTTTCTTCAACGACAGTTTAGTCGCTTTTGGCCTTTCATTACGGTTGTCCACATTTGACCTTGGTGGAGATCCTGTGCGTTTCCGTGAACCTACATGCGCTGCCCATGAAAATAATGAGGTTTAGAAGATTAGAAGGATGAACGTCCAGAGTTATACAGGACAAAATATTGAGTAAAGAATAAACAAAGGCACACTTCTAATGCAGATACCCATCTGCTACTTCAAACGACAGATTTTTTTTCAAAAAGCTTCTGAGCTGAGGAATTGACAAGCTAAATCAGCATTGAAGGTCAGGAAAGAAATAAACCCACTCAGACCAGCAACACCGTCAACTGGGCCTTCCAAGTAAAAATATTGGACACTGAAGCATCTCCGCCCATAATATGCTACAAAAGACATTTACTTATCTAGTTGTAAGAACTTAAGGCTCACCATCATCAGGCAATTCTTTCTTATTTGGTAGGTCCCCAAGCTCTTTTCTTCTTTTTAGTATCTGCTGCCGCATTCGGGCATCGAAGTTACCGTCATCTTCATCACTATTATCAGGAGACTCAGATAATCCACCTCCTAATTCTTCTCGATGCTCTTTCTTTGAGCTTAGAGCTTCTCTCACCATTAATTGCGCATCCTTTGATTTTTGGCCTTGAGCTGAGTTCTGCACAAATAAGTTGAGCATTTACTAACATTATATCGATAATTTTTTCTCATGCACTTGTATTTTTGATACATATCAATAATTTCAACTTCTAAGAGAATAACAGTAATCTAAAAGAATTACGCACCAGATCATTGTCAAGGTCTTCCTTCAGGAGGCGGGGGTCATTCAAAACATCATGACTACTTCTTATTCTAGTATTGACAGCTGCGAGTTCCTTCTCCTCTTCTTCAGCTTCTTCACCAAATGAAAGCAAGTTCAACTTTCTGTACACCAAATCAGAAGAATTCATTATCTTATCAGCCACATAAAAAAAAAAAAAAGTAGTATCACTGAGAGAATAACTATACTCCACATAAAAATGAAACAAGGAAACCTACTTGGTAACCTTCTGCTGTGTTTCTTTCTTTTCCAAGGATGGTAAAGACTTTGCCTGCATTCTCCTTGGGATGATGTCATCAAACGGATTCCATAACACCTAAATTAGCAGCTTCAAGATTAAAACTACGCACCAAAGTCTCAAGTACACATGCTTGTGTAATGAAGTCATAGAAGTCTTAAGAAGTCCATGTATGCATATATATACATCAGCTCTTACATTTTGATACCATCGGTCACATAACCTACTAACATTAGGATAAGCAGATGAACTCCTAATAGTACAGAAAAGGATAAATAATAAATTCCACTTGAGGCAACTAAGGGCATGAAGCAAGTCAATTAAATGTTTTAACTCTTAAATGCTTGAAAAAATACAACTGGAAATCAACAGTTTGCAAGTATACACAAATATCAAACTCTTGAACAATAACAAACTGATACCTCAACAGAAAGTATTTTCGGAAGTGGGTCCAGAGGCCTATCATCTTTACCAGTCTCTACTTCCCCTAACTGTAACAGATTATAAATTGAATCTCCAGTTACCTGTGAAAAAAAAAAAAGATTAAATGTTATGTAAAATCCAGAAGGCAATTAATCAAATGTAGAGATAAACATAAGTGTCTTGGACGGGGTATAATTACTTTTCCAAATATTGTATGCTTCTTGTCAAGCCAGTCACAACGATCCAAGGTCATAAAGAACTGGCTACCATTTGTATTAGGTGTGCCAGCACTCGCACATGCAAGCAAACCCCTGTGCTTGAATCTTAGACGAGAATGAAATTCATCGGGAAAAACACCGCCATATATACTCTGACCGCCTGTACATATAATATAAATGAATTGTCAACGAAAAAAATGAAATGCTAGATTCATGAATCAGATTAAAGGATCACATGTGAGATAAAAAAAATGAAGTACTTCCAAAATATCATGATTTCCACGTCGAAGGAAAATTTATGATACCAACATAAGATGTGGAACCATATTAAATATTAGTATCAAATAATGAAATTATTTATCAGGGGGAAAATAGATTGATTAATGATACAAAACCGAAGTTGAAGCATCATGTATAATATAAAATACACCACCTACTTTTTTTTTTCCTGCATTGTATTCAAACAAAATTCTTATGCTAATTAAGCACTGCCTAAGTTCATAGTCTGAAATTTCATAATAATGACTGTAAATAATTATACCTTCACCGGTGCCGGTGGGATCACCTCCTTGAACGAGAAATGACTTAATGACTCGGTGGAAAACGGTGTCGTCGTAGTAGCCTTCGAGACACAGCTGTACGAAGTTGCGGACGGCCTTGGGCGCCTCCTTGGGCCAGAGCTCGATGTCCAGTGGACCGTACGACGTGGTTATTATCACCTTCCCCTTCGTCGGCGGCTCCAAAACGTAAATCGTCGACATCTTCTATGAACTCCAATTGAAGTGCAGCGGTAAAAATTTCGTCGATTACAGTCAGGATTTATTGCTGTTGTAATCTGTGATTGAGGGTAAAGCTCGGCTGTTTTAGGGTTTCAATTAGGGGAGTTCTGAAGTGAAAATTGTTTGATTCAAAACGACGCGGTTCAGGAGTAAGTATACCTTCTGTTTTTCTTTCTTTTTATTTTTTTTTTATTATTATTTTTTTTTTTTTTTTGTGTGTGTGAAGGAAAAGGGAGTAAATATTAAATATAATTAGTCTCTTGTTTTATAGTTTACTAGTAACCATAACCCGTGCGTTGCACGGGTACCATTATAAAACAAAAGATATTTAAAACTTAATATGTTGAATATAATGAAATTCAATAATTGAAAATACATCACACCATAAGAAAATCGTAAAAAGTAACCATAAAAAAAATATTTAAAACTTAATATATTAAATATAATTAAATTAAATAATTGAGAATACACCACGCCATAGAAAATCGTACAAAGATGGATAAATAATACTAAGAACTTGATTAATACAATTAACTATAGTTTTAACGATTGACCAATCAAACCTAAGGCTCTATAGCTTGTCGAAGTACAACAACATATTGTCACTTGCCATTTCTTGCTTCGTTGTTTCTCAATCCTCAAGAGTCAAGATTGATATGTGCAGAAATTATGACAAAGTGAACAAAACAATGTAGTAGATATGAGAAGAGTCACAAAGTACTGATAGTGTGCTTGTATGAAAACGTAAGTAAACTATCAATAGGAGCTATAAAAACGACCAATAGATCGGTATCGGTATCGGTAAAAACAAAAAAAATCAATGTTTACAGCTCACAAATTTACCTATCCAATGTTCTCAGAAAAAGCATCAGGAGAAATACCAAAATGGTATTTCCATAAGTCAAGTCTTCATAGGAGCATTTTAGACTTTAACAGTCTATCTATCAACTAAAATCACCACACAATTAAACCAAGCAATATCAACCCGAAAACCTTATAGGGCTTCCCGAACTGAGGTAGTGATGCTTAAAAAACAGGTTACGCCTATTCCCATGTAACTATGTCTCCAAGATATTTCTCCAGTCTTTGGAAAATAAAATGAGGATATTTTCTTCTTCAATATCAACACAAATCAGGTTTTACATGTACATAAAGTTATGGTTTATATGCACTTAAAAGTTAGGACCATGATAATGATAGAAACTCTTCAAAAAAAATATACATGATAGAATATATAACATAATTTGCAATTTAAAATTATTTCCAGATTCCACTTACAACCAATCTATATTTATATCCGTGCTTGATTAAATCACATAAGTTGTTGAAGGAATCACATAAAAATTATAACTATCGGGATTAAATCCATACACAAATTCAGGCTGGTGTTCGAGTCCGGACCATGGTCCGAAGAGATATTAGACGAATTCAATTTCATCTTGCTATTGCCATCTGATAATTCTTCTCTTAAATTCTCTAATCGATAATTCAAATCTGCCAGCCCCGAATGCATAACCTTGAATATCAGATTCTACACGGCACATAACGAATTCACAGAGAGAGCAATCTCTAGCAAATGAAAAAAAAAAAAAATCTAAAAAGACAAAAAACTTACCCCTAGCAAAAATTGCATTTCATCATCATGATCACGAAACAGATAATGGGGAAAAAGTTGTCTTTATATAAGATTTATATAAACAACCTTAGTTGCAAAATCTGGCAAACAATGAGGAAAGAAAAAACAATCAAATGTTGATGTAAAATTCTATATGATAAAACCAAATTAAAGTAACAGGTTATAAAAATATCTTGAATTTCGAGGTGTCTTCCAATGTTAAAAGAAACTTATTCCAAGCGCTGGCTCAAAATATTTTTAAGCTTATAAACAGAGGGAATGATTTTATCGAGTCATCTTCATAGGGCGGGATCTCGTTCATGTGACGTTTCCTGTCTTCATCTAATAACCAATTACGTATTCTTCATCTTTGCTTCCATAATTTATCAAATGTACTACAAATGACAGAACCTACCAGAGTAAGATTGAAAATTAAATATATAGTCCTTAAATATTCAGTAGATGTAGTGAAAAAAGGAGAAAAAAACCTTAAATGCTCACTCATTTTTGTATAATGAGAAAGCTTCTTTCGTCACGCAATCCCAGTCGTTGAAATCACTTGATTTTCCAAATTCTCTATCACCAAGATTGCGGGGTCATACAGAAACTTGATGTCATACGATTGTAATAACAAATCAAATACAAATATATAATCCTAATTCGGAAACACAATACATAACTGCCCGTCTTACTTCTCAAGAGAGATCCGGCTTGTCTTTGTCATATCTCTGTTGTTTCCTCTGCATTCGAATTTACTAAGCGAATTTGCAGAAATGAAGTGAGAAATGGTAGGTGAAAACTTATAGTAGGGGTGCGAAAGGGGATGAAAGAGAGAAAATTGTAACCGTAGATGAAATGCAGGGGGGTGAAGAAAGAAAAACAGAATTAGGGAATAAGGAAGATCGTGTACTGAATTTTCTTCGGAGTGGACGGTTTTTGTGTTCAACATTGTTTGAAAGAAAAAAAATGTAAAAATAAAAAATTGACTAAAATGGCCCTAGTAACCATGCCCTGTGCGTTGCACGGAATACCATTACAAAAGAGAAGAAAATAATTATTTAAAATTTAATTTGTTGAATATACTGAAATTAAATAATTGAAAACATATGACACCATAAAAGAATTAAAAAAAAAAGATAAATAATATTGAACACATGTTGAATACAATTAATAATAGTTTTCATAATTGAACAAACTAACCCAATGCTTCATATGTTGTTGAAGTCTAGCATATCATCATTTGACACCTCTTACTTTGTTGTTTCTTAACATCCTCAAGATTGATACTTGGGGAATCCGTGACAAAGTGTACGCAAAGACTCTTTAGTTTTGATAAAAATCATAGAAAAAAAATTATAAAAATAAATAAGTAATAAAATAGTAGATGGACATAGAAATAAGAGAGTCTCAAGGTACACCCAAGAATTGTTGTTGGTTTCCACCTCCAACGAAGATGAGTCATTCACAACCCTAATTTTGATTCAAACACAAAAAAAAATTCAAATATGAACGATTTTCGTTGGAACATATATGAATTTATTATATAGTGGATGTG